TTCTTTTATTTTTGCACATAATTTACTATTCGCCCAATACACTTGTTGCAACGTTTTTATTCCTTGCAAAAAGTAATTTTACTCAAGGTCCCCAAAATATTGTGAAGTTTCATACGTCACTTCACTGTTCCTTGCAAAATGGTGTATCCGAGTCATTTATTGAGTTTAAGAACAAGAACTGGTCACAGGGGGCTAAATCTGTCGAATACACTGGCCAGTCAATCGATTTGTGTTCCAATTGGTTTAATTTTGTTTCTGTAACGGCCGCCTTGTGAACACGTGTGTTATCTTGAGGGAATAGTAATCTTTTGTGAGACAAACCAGAGCTTTCACCTCAAATCGTAGTCGAATCGGTCCAGTGGAGGTGCATGTTACACGCCAGTTATTTTGTAGTCTTTTTCAAGTATACAATGAGAGTAATACCTACCGTTGCCGATTTTCCCCCACATTTTATACAACATTTTGATCATACTTTCGTCTCCTGTATGTACAGATAAATCCAAGTTTAATCAACCAGTTCGCTTTTTAGGAATTCGAATGATAAATGCGGTAATCAGCGCCATCTATCGAAATACTCCAAAGTAATTGTGATACTCCAAATTTGGGTGTGCAATTAGACCCCATTGAAGAGGTATATTCGATTTGTATCTGTTAAAGTTCCACCTGAGTTTTATTTTAAAATTAATAAATCTCCCATAGAAAAAATGGATTCTTTGTACAAGATGAATTTATCTTGAGTGTTTTGAACTACTATCAGAATTCCTGTTCATACATTAACTGATTTCTTATAGTCTTTTGTAGATATGTCTTTATTTTCCTAAAATCTGATAAAGAAATAAATTTCTTTATATTAGAATGTAGTACAAATTAATTTAGGAAAGACCTGAAGAAGAAAATAAGGAATCTGTAAAATATAAGAGCCAAAGTTTTGATGATAGTTCGTAAAAGTGGTCTAGTAAAGACCAAAACCACTCTATTAAAACAAAATCTAGATCTATGATGAAAATTTTCATAAAACTTTAAAATTAGAAATGAGGGACACTTTCTACAGGTAGAAGCTTAAATGATGGACAGTCAACTCAATTAAACATGTCTTCAATTCATAATCTGACCAGATTAAAAATCCCCTTCATGATTACCACAGCGCTATCTTTATATCAGTTGATGATGGTCTGAGAATTCATAACAAAAAGAAATAATGCAAAGAATGCCAAGTGCATTAACTGAAGAAATAAAACCTGTCAAAATATTATATGAAGTCTCGCAATTAGAGCTTGTATTTCCCAAATTTGCATAACCTCCACCAATGTACTATAAGTTTGAAGCTATTTTTCTTCTGAACCATTGATTTAATTTCAATGATTTTTTTTTTCAAATTGCAGGTCTATTTCTAAGAAATTAATGTACCAATGTTTTCTGAGAAATGTTAATGTTTTACCCATATACAAGTTTCCTCTGTCTCAAAACCACTTATAAAGTGAGTATTTCCGCCTATATTTTTAGTAATTTCTAATTAATTGTAATTAATTACAATCAAGCGTCATATTTAGTATTGATCAATTGCATACGATAACTTCTATGTCGTCAAGAGAGACAGGTACTGGTTGTCGGCTCCTGAGTATGCCACAAATTCTTTATAGGATTTAGATCAGGGTTATATGGTGGCCGGTTGTGAAAGATCTGAGATGATAATCAAAATCTTTCGTTTAGAAATTTTCGCTGTTATTTCCTCATAACTATATTGCAAGTTGTCCTTTTCGCACAGAGTTTGTTCTTATAATAAAAAAAAAATTGTGGTATTAACAAATACATCCGCAAAGTACATCTGTCTAAACAGTGAGAGTTCCTATGCGTACCAAACTAATTTTTAAATTGCCTGAGAATATCTAAACCTTTTGAGAACTGAAGTGCCAGACTAGTTCCAATGGAAGCTCGTTTTATATGGAAACAGTTTTCAAAGAAATGTTCATATAAAGAAAGGACGTTTTCAACAAGACAGTTTTGTTTATTAGTCCATTTGATGTGACATGATATGCAACTCCCAATACTCATGTAAATCGCTGCAAAACAAAGAAAAATCTTAAAGCTTGATTGAAGGCTATAATTGTGTAGTAACCGATAACAAAATGATTGTAAGCAGCTGTTTGTGCATTTGTAACTATGATTTTTTTGTATAATTAGAATATATCAATATTATATAAAAATCAAATTAGTTATGTATGGTTAAGTTCTTCCTTTTAACTTCTAGGTATGTCTGATGCAATTAAAACTAGATATTAAGATTTTTTTCGTTTATTCATTATTGATGTGATCATTTGTTGTGATCTAATTTGGAAATAATTGTTTTTGTTCCCTTATTTAGTATATAAAATTTAATCAATCAATTATGTTAATAAAGTATTTTTAAAACTGAACAGTTTGTTTCATTATTTGTCCCATTTTACTTCATAATATTCCATCTGATGAAGATAATCAAACTAAACCCAACAAGAAGACCAACACACGGCCACTTACAAGGAGTATGTGAACTCTAGATTCGGCAGCGTGGCATTAAAGTGATACAAATTTTCGCCAACGGTAATCCCGAAAATTTCGAGAGTTGTTGTGAATATTAAATACTAACTGACAATACAATATTATAAAGTAAAAAGCAATAAAACAATTGAACATCAACTGCAAAAAAACTAATATAAAATAAATGCATCATCCAGAATACGCTGCGGTGAAGGTAGCTACGGCCTACAGGAATGTTCACAGAACGAAATATTTGCGTTTGACAGTGTTGTCATGTCCATATAATGTATAGTTGTATCACCGAACAGCGGTTGTTCGGTGGTTGTATATTTTAAAATGTGCAGAGAGGAAGCTTTCAAATAGTACATTTTTATTATATTATTTTATAGATTCTGTTCAAACAAATAAATATTTGTTTCTTTCGATATTAATTGCAGTTAATTATTAGAATTTTTTTGGCAGTTGCTCTTTGATAGATTACCGGCTAGATTTGGCAATCCTCGAACCACCAGTTGCCAGATTGCAACAGAAGTCTTTTTCTCTTTAATATTTATACTGAAATTTTACTATTGCAAAAGTGTTTACTTTTCCTTTTTTTGATAATATTTCATTCTGTCACACACCCATCGAGCAATAAGACAAAAGAGGGAATGTAAAGGTAGAAGGGGTAAACATATTGATAGACAGAAAGTGCCATCTGAGAGGCCACTTTAGACAAGGATAGACAGTCTCTCTCCTTGTTTGACATCAAATTTAGTTGGGTTATGTTATTGTTTGTCCAAATGTCACATGAAATCTTATTTATATTGAAGTTTTTTAACAATTGTGTCGCATTTTAGACTCTTATCATTAATAATTAATTAAAACTTTCTCGTCTAAGACACATTTTGAAAAATATTATATAGCTATGTTGATAAGTGTCGAAATATTTAAATTTGGCGCCTTTGCATTTTCGGATGTGTCCGCCATCAGAGGCCACTTTTTTGGTCTCCTTTTTATAACGATTAGATTCCTCTTTTGTCTTATTGCTCGATGCACACACCAATATTTCATTTTATCAAGATCATTTGAGGCTATCTTCACTAAGACCACATATGAAAAATGTCAGAAAATATAAAAATGCAAAAAAGCCACACTAATAATAATATAAAGAAGAAAGGTGATGTTGTTAACATAAATAAAACAGCAGCTTTTAAACTAAAGTCGGAAATACCAAGCGATTTCCAGATCTTAATTAACACGAATAATCATTGGAAAGCGCAACTAAAAAAAGTCTAGCTTCAGAAGGGATGACAGATTCAAAAGATACATATTCAAATGAAGGAAAGAGACTCGCAGGAAGTTGATATTCATAAAATTCAAGACAACGATTAAATCTCCAAAAAGGTGATGTCTCAAGCCCAGATAAACTAACTCAAATGATGGATTTGCTGAAAGTGCTGACTAAGGATACAAAGGAAATAAAAATGCGAAAACATAAGAAGAGTATTCAATAAAGAAGACATAAATGTATGGGTGACAAAACGGAAACAGGAGTGGAACGAACACATTAGTAGAATGACAGAGGATAGGATAGCACGAACAGCACGAGATAAGTCATAAATGGGCGAAGAAGTATTGCAGACCAAGAAAAAGATGGTGCGATAGTTTAAACAATTTAGGAGGCTAATATTGAAAAAGAAACAGGCTTTAAAGCCTACATACAATAAGGAAGAAGAACTGGAAGAGCTCAGAAGATAACAAGGAATATGTACGAGAAATGGGAGAACTAAAACTAGCTGACAAAGCTATGGAAGAGATCAATCAGGTGCAAAACGAATTAAGTGATTCTAATGAAAGATTAAAAACTAGGAGAGAACTGAAGAAGAAATATTTTGATTCAATTATTTCCGATTGAGACGGACAATCCAAGTATTCTAAATAATGTTGTCTTTCAATGTAAGAAAGGAGCAGACCAAAACATCAGACGCTGTGGAAACACGTTCTAAAATTAAAAAGAGAAGAGCTAGATAAAACGAAAAATATAATGATGAAAAAAAAAAGAGATTATACGCTGGACACCTAAGATGATAATTTTTAATAGTGAAGTAATAATAATACTTTTAGGCATCCGAGATCGGTATTACAGTAGCTACTTATGATGAAAGCAGAGATTATCTCATGAGTATCGTGGATTATCTCTAGATGAAAGTAATAGAAGGAAAGAGTGGTGTGTTGTGTGACAGAATACTCTCGAAACTAAAATATAAGTACTTATTTTTTATATATGACGAATGACACTGAGTGTTGAACATTAAAATGAAAGAGCAACGAATACATGTTGCCATAATGAGAATACTTAAATGGATGAGTGAAGGGACTTGAAATTAAAAAAAGGAATAAAACTAAAATAAATAAGGGAATCTTTGTACATGGTGGATGTCTACCCCAATTCAAGCAGACCATTGAAAAAAAGAAGAAACGAAGAGATCGATTTAATAATATAACCTATCTAATGTTTGTTTTGTTTTGATCTTGAACTTTGTAGTTTCTTAATGTGTTATAATTTACATAGAAAATTGTTTATGCTAATTAACATACGTAATCATCATGCCTATTTTAAAAATATACGCCCTAGATGATCAAGAAGAGGCGTCTGTAATTTCTGCTTTTCCTGAAGGTGAACACTCAATAGGAAGAGATAAACTAAACTGTAAAGATAAAAGAGTTTCCCGAAATCATGCATTGATTACTATTACAGATAATTCCATCACATTACATTCTACACACGTTAATCCATCATTTTACAAGCCTCATGGGGGAAATAGTATCAGGTTAGTAAAGAAGGATGAATCAGTTACCATAAATGATGGAGACCAATTTGCTTTTTTGGCAGATGCATACTGGTTTAAGACGAGAATTGAGCAAAGTGAAATTAATTTAGATTCAAGTAGCAATAAAAGAATCCACGAGGAGAATGAAATTTACGATAACCAAAAAAGAGCAAAAGTTGATAACATAGAGAACATTAATGAAGAAAGTACAAAATCGGCAGTTAGTGACAATATTGATAACCAAGAAAGTAAAGGATGTGTATCAGATTCTGAGGGAAGTATAGACTTTGCCACTTCACTGCAAAATGAAGATGATATCCCAAATGAAGAGGATCCAAAAGATACTACTGAAGACAATATAGAAAAACCAACAGAGGAAAACAATCCAGAAGATACAATAACAACTGAAAATAACAGAGAAAGTATATTAAATGAAGTAGAACCATCAAGAGAACAAAATGATACAGAAGATAATAAAAATGACGATAATGAAGTAAATCCATTAAATGAAATAAATCAAAATGATGAAAGTAAACAAGAAACAAAAACTGATAATGGCGACTCCAGTACAAATGACCCATCATCTAGTAAAACAAAACGAGAGCCTTGTTGGTATGGTGCAAAGTGTTACAGAAAAAATGCAGCTCATAAACAGGCATTTAGCCACCCTGGTGATTCAGATTATGAAGATAATGAGGTACCTGAATGTCCTTACGGCACTGGTTGTTACAGAACAAATGCTATTCACAGAAAACAGTATAAACATACTAAACCACCAGCACCTAAACCAGTACCTGCAACTACAAAGAATGATGAATCTGAAGATGAAGAAAGTGGTGATGATTCTCCAGTAGGGAAGCGAAAGAGAAAAGCTGTTGCTAAAGCTAAAAATTATGCAGAATCTCCTGAAGATGACTATGACTTGCAAGATCCATTCATTAATGATGGAAGTAGTGATGATTTGAATTGTCAGATGATGGTGACGATGATGATTGGCAAGATTCTCAAGAAGTTGAAGAAGAAAGTCAAGACACAAGGAGGCTTCTAAAGGAAGCCAAGAAATTCACAAGGAAGAAAAATAAGAAATAATTGATCACAGTGTTTTTTAGCATCACATTTAACATCATATTTGTCCTAAAAATTTATATTTTGTACCTTTATTTTTATATTTATGCAAGCATGCCATCTAAACTGTTTATTGAGTATTAATAAATGAAAGTAAAATACTGTATTTGTTAATTAATTATGTTAAATATTCTCTATTTTATTAATAAATTTATTACATTTTTCCTTTAATTTTTTTCAGACATTTCTGTACACTTGTTCCCTTAAGTGAGGTTCAAATAACGCAGCTGAAAGTTCTTTTAAAAATGTTTTTCTATCATGTTTTCAGTCATCTTTCCATTGGGGGTTTGCAAGTGAAAATATAACCATAGCATTTATTCCGCTAGCATCCAACATAGGTATTGAAAAACATTCTGAGATTCCAGCGTCTAGTTTTACAGAAAGTCGTGTAAGAGTAGCACATCTGATCAATGGTATCTGAACCACCCTTTGTTTCATTGTAGGAGTATACAAGGTTTTTGTTTTTTTCCTATCAAGGTATTAAGTGATGAATTAGGATGCAAAGGTGATAAAAGTAGTACCACTTTATTTTTCTTTAAAGTGTACAAAACTAGCGTTTTGTTTCTGTCAAAAGCAAATATGGATGTGCTTACCTTTTTATTTTTTTGTGTAAACTTCGGAGGTATTTCCCGTTTATTTTTTCGCAACGTTCCAAGGATTGTTAGCTGATACTGTTCCAATATTTGTTCACTTAGAGGTATTGGCGTGAACCAGTTATTCATTGTTGTTACGATGAGTACTGTGTATTGGTTCGGAAAGTTTTCTGACATGTAAGAACTGTCATTATTCTCAACATCAACTTGTCCAACGTATGGAATGGCATTCAGCATATAAAATGTCTTTGAATAATTTATCATCATTACTTTCATTCCATATTTATCAGGTATGCTGGCTATGTAAAGTCGGAATGAACATTTTCTACGAAAACTCGCGAGTTGCTCATGAATTGTACAGTTCTCATAGGGCGTGTAGTATAGCTTGCAATTATTTATAAAAATGTCCCATATTTGGCGAATATTGGTAAACTTGTCAACCAATTTACTAGCATTTCTGTCTATTTTGTCGTCGAACCTCAAGCAAAGAGCTAAAAACTGAAATCTTTGTTGACAAGCCACTCTGACACTTCCTAATAATGTCTTGATACCTTGCGCATAGGTAACTACAAAATCTGATATATTCGGGTTTTTATCCAGCGTTATAGGAAAAGTGCAATTAGGAACTTTGAAATAATGAACAATAGACGACAAATGGATAAATTTATTTGTCTTACATTAATCATTACATCTTATCATTAAAAAGTTATATACATTAACAACCATACTGTAAACTTAATAAATTAATACTCTTCGTAATACTACTGGTCGTATTTACAGCAGATTTTACACCCAATTGAAAAACTCTCGTCAAAATAATCTTAGCGTATTCTTGCATCACAGCTACTAATTCCGGCAGTCTTTCGAGCACACTCTCCACAACATCTCCGTTTTTACTATCAATGCAGGCCAATACGGCCGGCAAAGCCTCGCTCGCAGCTTTGGGATTATATTTCAACCATCTGATCATCAACAACAGTGACAACGACCTCGCGGAGCTATTCGGGGAAGACACGGAGTTGCAGATGTATTGGGACACTTCTGCGAGCCACTGAGGTCTTTTACTTGTAATGTGGTCCAGTTCTTGCAAGGCAGATAAATTATCTGACGCTTGAAGTGCCAATTTAAGTTGAGCCCATTGTGAGGGATGTGATTCTAGTACGGGTGGAGTGACTGTTCCTACGAGAACTTCTGTAGGTCCTAACTGGTCGGTTATGGGTAAAGATACACTGGAAAGTAGTGGACGGACTCCCGGTTGACTGTACTGAATGTCACTGAAAAAAATTAATAGATTTAGTAAATAGTCATATATTATATATCATAAATAGTTATTCATTTTTATAAATTTTAAATTATTAAGTACCCCTACACACATTATTGTAGTGTATTGTCTATATCAGCCCATATAAATTAGGGCCATTATTGTGGTTGTAATATTACATTACAGAAAAGACCTCCCCCTCCAATTCCATTCGTTTTTGACATTAAGAATTATACTTAAACACAGAATACGAAAAAACAAATAAAGGTCGAATCTTCCACACTGCTGAGAACTTTTCTACTGATTGAAATCGTTGGATGCAGTCTACACCAGGGATGGGAAAACTACGGCCGGCTACTAAGCGTTAAAATCCGGCTCTGCGTAGTGTGTGTTTGAGTGACCACGCGCATCGGCTGGAGCGTGTCGTGTCATCGCCACTGCCACTGTCCGCCCAATCCCGTGCCTCATGTGGAGTTTTGGTTTGCTTCAAATCACAGGTTCATATGCAGTATAATTTCTTTCTTACTTTCGAAACTACAAAGTGACAGTCCGCTAACAGCCAGTGGTATTTCGGAATCCGCAGGGTAAGATGTTCGTTTGCGCCTAGTTATAAAATCTGAATACAGTTCCGTCATATGAGTAATCTAAATTTAATTACTTGTGTTTTAAAAGTATTTATTTAACTTGCAATCTTTTTGTAGGTATGTATTTTTACTGAGGTAAAATGTTGCAACTCATTGCAGATATCTTCAAGTGCTTTTGAAAAAGATGTCTTCAATTTTTATTTAGGTACTTTTTATTAATATTCGCTTATTTGAGCGATGCTGTATTGATATTGTTTTATTGTTTTGTTACAGCAGCAAGTCTGTATTGATATTGGTAAAGTTCTTAAGGAAGAATGGTCAATGAAATACTTTTTCACAGAATTTAATGACAAACCAGTGTGTCTAATTTGTAATGAATCGGTTGCAGTTTTGAAAGATTTTAATTTGTCTCGAAACTTCTCTAAAAAACACGCAAATACAAACATATGACAGAGTTGGACAGTAAAAGATGTTAACGAAGCAATTTGATAGTCACAAGGCTGCAATAATGGCAAGTTATGTTGTAGCTTACAAAATTGCTACAAGTAACAAAATTGACGAATAGTGAATAGTGAAGTGTTTTAAAATATCAGACTAGAAACAATTCTTACTCGTAAAAGACTTTAATTAAAAAATTAACACTATTTATGTTTTTTAAAAAATGTTCGTAATGCACAAATAAATACACGAAAAGTTTTTGTTAGATCAACTAAATGAGATTCAGGTGCGCAGATAGTCTGTGATCGAGTGCGCATGGTCAGTAAAGGTAATTAAGTTTGGTTAATACTTACTGCAATAAGGATCCGTACTGCTGCAAATATTTTGACGCACCTTTCACGTCTTTAACCATCCAGTTCTGTATAAATATGACGATTCTGCTAACTAATACGCTCAAATCCTTTCCCTGTCCGTGAAACTGTAGCAGCAAAAAGTACGAATCTAACAGTTCGCACAAAGTTGACGTTTGGTTAAATATGTAAGGCTGCAAGAGCTCCATCAGTCCTAGAATCTGCCCGAACAGCATGAAATGTCCTCGACTTTTCAATACTCCCCAGTCGTATTGCGCTCTACCTTTTAAACACCCGGCTAGCATAGGCAACTGTCTCAGTACTAATAAGGATGGGTCGCTACTAATTTTCTTATGAGCAGTTCTAGCTCCTGACTCTTTTTAGTCCAGTCTTTATTCCTCGGCGTTGCTGCTAGAGCACTCAGAAGGCAATGGGATATTTCATCTATCGCACTAGGGCAGTTTTTGTTGTAAATATCCGTGCAAGTTTCTGGTTTAACTTCTATGCGGTCTGGCACAGAGTGCGGAACAGACATATAGATCATTAGTATCAATTCATGTGTATAAATATCGTCTGCATCATGCAATAATTTGTTCATGATCGAGACTGCGTTATTCCCTAAGCTGCGCAGGACCAACTGCAATCGAGTCTCCATTTTTCTCTTCCAGTTATCTGGATTGGTTTTCGATTCTTCAATTATAAATGTTATCATTATTAGTGCCTACAAGAAAAAAAAATGAATTAAAAAAAACCTAGTAAATGGCGATTTTGAGTTTAAATATTTAGAGGAAACTTTGGAAGGAAAGCTTTGGTATGCCTTCTGTCTGCTTCTTTAGTTTGAAAGTATGTTATTCTTTAGATCAGTTTATATTAGTTTGTGGATGCAGTTTTGGAATTGAAAGGAATGAAGGCAAACTTTACTCCTCATCTCAAACTGGATTCTCTTGTCTAATCCGACAAAAACAACAACTAACAACATGGAGTTTTGTGAAATTCCTCGTGTAAAAGCTTCCTTCGATCTTACACAGGTCAAACCAATAGAAGAATTAAAAACATAATCTACTAACATTCAATTTCTGCAAGGCTGCAATTCTTCAAACAAACCATTAGATAAACTTTATTCCAGACAATTCCAGACCTATATCCGTTTTTATAAACTAAGGATTATCCGAGAAGCCAATGAAATTAAAAAACGTCCTGACTGTCATAATAAATAAGATGACGGTACCTGCTACCTTTAACATAGACATATTTCATTAAGCAGCATAAATATCCGCCCATTTTTGCCAACAATTCACCTTGCCCCGTTAATAATTCTAATGAAACCAGTAGTGTAGTGAATAGTTAACTCTGTATAAGTGAAATGGTTTGGGTATTAAAAAAACTGAAACTCCGGAAGCCTCGATAAAATCTTTAAAGAGAGAGTCGAAAGATCGGCGCAGCAAATATATCTACATATATAATCAGTGTGTCAATTTGAAAAGGTACCACCCTCTATAATTTGGTCCATATAAAAATTTAAAAATATGTAAAAATACGTCAAATTTATTTGTGAGGGGAACATTTTGTAGAGCAATTTTCAACTAAATTATATCAACCCTTTAGCGGGGGCGGACACAACCCCCAAAATCTTTACTAGTAAAACCGTAAATATATTAAGTATTGAGTTCAGAACACGTGACGTGGAATTGCTAACAAAAAACGAAATTATCGCCGTGTTTTTGAATAAAGCAGCACAAATAAAAGTTTTAAGCACCTTTATTGCAGAACCCTCCACATGACTTTACAATGTGACACTCCAAGTAGCAATGTCTCACGAAACTGTAAGAAAAGCACTAAAGTTACGTAAATTTCACCCGCATAAAATGCAAATTCTTCTAACACCTTTTTGATGATGAAGCCATTCAAATATATGTCTCACACTCGGACTTGCCTAT